GTGCTTTTATAAAGCTTACTTACTAGATAGTTTTATTATTTTTTATTTTTTGGGGGGGGTACAAGGAATCAAACTCAGGACTTCAAGCTTGCCAGGCAGGTGCCGTGCCACTGAGCTATGTCCCCCATAGTTTTAAGAATCGGTATAATTCACAAGGCAAAAAGATGATTCGAATCACTTAAGTTCTCTCCAAATATGAATGTTGACCACATTTCCTCAGAGACATGCTATGGTACCAAGGTATTCAGAGGCAGTTCCTCGAGAACTCTTCCCTCATTTATATAGTCACAAAGAAGGTTTGAAATTTTGTACTCATTCAGCAGTTTCTATTACATATGTTAATTCATCCTCAGAGCAGTGTTAGGTTAAATCATTAAAGAGAATAAAAAGAATATTAAAAAAATTAGAAATGATACAAAGCTTCACTAGACAAGATGGTAGAAATTCACCAATGGTTGTTATATTGCATAAGTTGTCTTCAGATTGCATATTGTTGTCTTCAAATTAGTTGTTCAGATTACCAGATATAAGCATGCAAAACTGGTAAAAAATTTAAGCATTAACTGTTCCTTTCAATAAACCATTAGACATCTGCAGTACAATTATCCCAGCTATCCTTGTGTGTGTATTATAGCATATTACATTATATATTATTATATATTTTATGTTATATACTATATATTATATTATATATTATATATTGCATATTATATTTTTCTTTTCCTTCTTTCTCTCCTTTTTCCTTTCCCTCATCCCAGGTGTTCCTTCCTTTGAGCAATTTCTTTCTCTTTCATAATATCTATTGTACATTTTGGATTTCATTTACTCTTTCATTTTCTTACACTAGGGAGACAATATGATGTTTATACCTGTGGGTGTGATTTATTTCACTTATGAGTATGGTCTCTAGTTGCATCCATTTACCTATTAAAAGCCTTGAGTTTATCTTTTTATAGCTGTGTAATACTCCATTGTATAAAAACACCACATCTTTTTTATCCATTCATCAGTTGATGGGCATTTGGGTTGTTTCCAAGATTTAGCTATGACAAATCATGCTGCTATCAACATGGGTGCACATATATCACTGTCTGAGCAACTTTGTTGAAGATAACAATATGTAATATAACAATCCCTGTTAATTCCTATCATTATTTTGAAACCCTGTATCATTTTTATTGTTTTTGCTTTGTTTTGTTTTTGTCTATGTTGTTGTTATTGTTTTTTAAAATTATTTTCCTTTTTGTTTGTTTGTTTTTTGTCTTTTTGAGACAGGGTCTCACTATGCAGTTCAGGCTGGACTTCAGCTCATTTGTAGTCCAGGCTGGCCTTGAACTCGCAGCGTGATCCTCCTGCCTCAACTGCCCAAGTGCTGGAATTACAGGCATGCACCACCAAGCCAAGCTATTCTCTTTTTTTTTTTTTTTTTCTTTTTTTTAAAGAAAAGCAGTGTTAGGTGTTTGTGATGTGTGTGGAAGGTGCTGGGAGAAGTTGATTCCGGGCCTTCACATCAAATAGATCTACCGATGACTCTTGCTCAGTTACTTGGATTCTTGAGGTTTTGATTCAGTTTTTTAACCTCTGTAACCCTTGTTTTATTCATCTGTAAAGTAGGATAATAATAGCTATATCTCTACTTACAAATTATTTTAAAGAATAGATGAAATAATGAATTTAAAGCACTTACCTCATGAAATAAGAATTTAATCAATGTTAGCAAATATTCATGTTATCTATTACTATCATTGCTACTATTATTATTACTATTGCTCCTCTTGTTGCCTTGCTATTGGCTTACCAAAGATACGTCAGAACCAATCCAGCTCATACAGAATCCCTTAGTCTTACAGGAGAAAATTCCATATATAGATAAAATGTTAAGTAACAAATCAGATGGTCTATATAAGTCCGGGAGATACAGAAACATGAGGCTCACAGCAGGCACTACATTATGGTGGGTAGGATAATGAATTTCAATGGATCTGCCTGCTTTTAGTACAGTTCTACCACTGGCCAGCTCTATCACAAAAGCTAGTTATTTATACTCCTGCCTCTGTTTATTCAAATGTAAATTATTCAAATGTCTATTCAGATGTATACCCCTTGTTGAGTCATAGGAAGGATTAAGTAAAATAATACTTGAGAGTCACTTATAATAATGCCTGCAGCAGACAAAGTACTTGATAAATAACAGCAATCATTATATCCTTCCTGATAGCTAGCTCAAGACCTAGCACAGACCTAGGTAAAAAATATTTGCTGATTTATTAGAAGTAATAAAGTAATGATTTATTAGAAGTAATGGTATTGTTACAAGTCTGTAACAATAGGTCATCAATTTAAAACTGAAGGGAACAGACTCATTGAAATACTCAATATTCATGCATTTCAGTGAGCCTCTATTTCAGTGGTCTGCTTTCATCTGAATATGGAAGAAAACTAAGACAGGCTTTTAAAAAAAAAACTAGGGGCTGGGGATTTAGCTCAGCGGCACAGTGCCTGCCTGGCAAGCACGACGTCATGAGTTCGATTCCCGGTACCGGAAAAAAAACAAAACAAAAACAAAAAAAAACAAAACAAAAAAACTATATAAGTTAAAAGATGGACTAGTTTTTGGAATCTGCAACACATATTTCCTATTTTCTAGAGTTATACAAGCATGCATACATACATAGATACATAGTCATATATACATACATAAATACATGTATACATATGTACTTCAAACACATATGTATGGGATCATTGGCTCTGTTGTCACTGGATAAATATCTTAGAATTATATCAACTGATACAACCTAACAGATTATTTTTATAAATTGAATATTTAGATATAGTTCAATTATTGGATCAGATTGCCTAACATATGAATGATTTTCCGTCTGAGATGATACACCACCTCTCTTAAGTAAGAATACCCAAGAAAATTTGGGTATTTGCACGCTGCACTACAAATTCTCCCCTGAGGAAACCCACAATTCTTGTGTAAATCCAAGATCTGTATAATTGTCAGTCTCTGTCCAATGGGCCACTTCTGCAATACTGAGAGACACTAAGGTCCGTCGATATTGCCTCTCATAAGGAGAATTAATTATCTAATTCAGGATTTAAAAGAAGGTCACCTCTCTGAGCTAGTGACCTAATTCCTTGACTTTTTTCAAACCTTTTGCTTATTACCATCCTTGAGCCATTTTTAATCTGTTACTTCCTAGATACCTTGCGGCAAAGAAGCCCATGCTGTGTAGATTAGCATTTTCAGTGCATTACACACACACACACACACACACACACACACACACACACACAATCTCACTTGATCCTCCCAGTAACCTCTTAAGTAGGAAGGGCAAATATTCCTATTGTATTCCCATTTTTCAGATGCACAGAGGGTTATATAACCACAATGAAACAAAACTCCAGATGTTCAGTTCAGCACCTCTGTAATGTATCCACCCTTGGTATTCTGTATCGTGAACTGGATAGCAAAGTAGAATTATAACAAAACTGCCCCAGAGAAAAACTTTTGACTTTGCTGTCTAGGTGCATAGATGGTGACGTTTTTCTGAGAATCAAATGTATACTCAGGCCACGATACAGACGTTGTGGCCAACGAAGTCATGCTCATGTATCCACATAGTAACTGACTGTATAATTTTTTTCCCTTCTTTGTAAAATAGCCTGAAAACAGCTCCCTCTTGCTGGCTTTGGAAGTCTATCCTCACCAAAGTTAAGACAGCTGATGGAGTCGGTCAGACTAGGGGCTCCCCCCGCAGCAGGGCTGCGTGGTCCAGCTTAACTCATTCATGCACGGGTGGTGCTTTCCGCCCTCCTTTCGGGCGCCTCTTTGCGGTCTCCACATCTCCTTTCTCACCTCGGAGAGCAGGAGCCGGGTTTTCCGCACCTGTTCCCTGGACACCTGGCCTGACCGGACGCCGGATGCTGTTCCACAGCTGTTCCTTGTCCTAAGGTGAAGTCCGGAGGAACAGTCCGCACGCTTCCAAGAGTAACCGGAGCAAGTCTCCACCGACCACTGCAGCCAATTCCTGCCACCCGCGCCGTGAGAATCGGGTTTCCCGGGGAAGACGTGAGGAATCCAGTTCAGAGAAAACTCCCTAAATCCCCAGGATGCTCAGAGAAGCTGGAAAACCAAACACACACACACACACGCACGCACACAAACACGCACACACACACACGCACGCACACACACGCCGCGCCCGCTGGATACAGGCGCGGGACCGGGACGGGCCAGTGCGTCCTCCCCGCGGGACCCACCAGGGTAACAAATAGCAGACAGCTGAGGAGCGGCGCGGGGCTCGGGACACGGAGAGACGCAACTCCCACAACAAATCTAAGGCGGGAGGGACGCTAGCCCTCTGGACTTCGCGGGCTAAGCTCGCCCAGCTCTGGCGGCGGAGCGCCCAAGCCGGCGGACGCGGATCTCGGGCACCGCGCCTGCTGCGCCCCCGGAGAGCAAGCGCGGGTTTCAGGTGACTGGAGAAAGGGGCTCCGGGACAGGGCGCCAAACCCAGAAAGGGCGCGGCACGCCCAGCTCGCCAAGCTCGGGCAGCGGCGCGCGCGCGCTGGGGTCCGGCCCCTGCGCTCCGCCTAGGATCCCGCAAGCGTCCCCTCCCCACCGCGCGGCCGTGATGCAAGGGGGCCAGCTGCCCACGTAAGCGCGAGGGACCAATGGGGGTTGGACCTCTCCAGCCGCTGGGGCGAGAGCGAGCGCGCTCCGCAGGAGCAAACCTCGCATAAAGAAGCGCGCTGGAGCCGCGCGCGGCTGGGAGCCCGGAGCGCACCTCCAGCGCCGGCGGAGCGCCCAGCCCGGAGGACGGCGCGCCG